AGATCTGTCAGAGAATCCGTTCTCTGCCGACACTTGGAGAGTGTGAACAGCCGATGGGTTCTCTACACACTTGAAGAGTGTGAACAGCCGAAGGGTTCTATGCCACACTTGGAGAGTGTGAAAAGGAGAAGGGGTTCTTTGCCCGCCACTAAGAGGTGTGAAAAGGACGAAGGGTTTTTCTGCCCACAACTTGAGAGTGAACAGCCGAAAGGTTCCTGCCACATTGGAAGTGTGAAAGTGAACGAATGGTTCTTTAGCCCACACTAGGAGGTGTAAAGGCGAGGGTTTCTCTGCCACATAGGAGAATGTGAAAGGATGAAGGTTTCTGCTCATGCAATGGGGAATGTAAAAGGACACGCCGTCGCACGTGGGGTAGGTGGAAGAGTGTTTGAAAGGCTTCTCTATATTGATGTGGTGCAAAAGGAGAGCATATGGTACTTATAAATTGCAATACGAACGAGGTTGCCTGCGTGGAGTGGGACTGTACGGTCGTGGTTTGAACGACACACTATAACCGTGTCTTTATTTTTTCTGCTGCCTTTTTTATTTTGGTTTTTACTTTTAACTGTGGTGAAAACGTTTCTAATAACTCATTATAAGTTTATTTTTTTATTTTAACAATTAAAAAAGAGAGATTAATTTTTTAATTTACATTCACCCTCTTGAGGTTAGACGCTGGACATAAGCTAAAGTTATACACTAATATCAAGAAATCAAGTTTCGATCATCTTCTTACTCTCTTCTTGCTATGGGTCCCACTCTTAAGAGCTCACGAGGAGCTACTTATAATTTTTTTGGGATGGCATGACCAGTTAAATAGAAAGAATTGGGGTAATTGAAGGGTTTGAATGGACGGCCGATGTGAATCCTTGAATGTGGACCGTTTATTTAGCGCATTTAAAGCTTAGATGATTGTTGGAATCTGTGATCTTGTGCTCGTTGGATTTGTTTCGTCGAGCTCTTTGATTCGACCTATAAGCGTTGTCACGTTTGGAAACTGAATTGGTAATCATGTTGTGGGTTTGACTTCCACAGTGACTTTGGGTCCTTGAGTATCGGATCCATTTGGCTCGGTTGAGTGAATGTTTGGTGTTCGTTTGGTTATATTTCTAAATGTCGGTTCGCTGATATGTTCTAAATCAGAGTTCAGAGTCCCGAATTATAATTTTGAAGATTCCAACTTTATTTGCTTTGAGATTCTGCCCGAATCAGAAGATAA